ATGATGTTATTGCAACGCAAAAAAAAAAAAAAAAAAAAACACAGCAAGTTAAGGGCAAAAATGTAATTTTGCCCCTCTAACCATAATAGGGGTTCAAAGAAAACCCCGTCAAATCCCCTGCAAAGAAAAAAGAGAGTTAGAGAGAAAATGAAGAGAAATCAGCCGCGAAGTTTATTGGACCACGCTGGAATCCACCTTCAGACGAGACTTGTACAAGGACTAAGAGGCTAGCGAGGCCAACGCTCCGTCAAGATTCAAGAACGTTTCGCGAGGTAAGGTTCTGAATGACATTTTTCAGATCTGAGTTTTTCCTATGTGAATCGAGTCCTAAACTACTAAAATATTAACCTAGGAACAACTCTACGCACGATATGTGAAGAAGTTTGGCCGAGACCTCAACCCGAAGGCGGAGATCCGAGAATCGTCTGAGAACGGTGAGTGAACTTCCGACGCTCTTAAGTCATTTGGTAGTCAGGCAAAAAATTACAAAAAAAATACTAGGACGTAGCCCGTAACACGATCTAGAAATTTGCCGAAGAAATCATATCGATTCGATCTACGAATCAAAAGATATGAAAATCGGAAAGGGGACACTATGTTTCGGATTGTAGAGGACAGAGAAGGAAAAAAAAAAAGTAGGCCGACGAGCGGTGAAGGGCGGCAGACACGTGTCGATCGTTGGCTGGAGCAACGCAGCTCCATCGAGGCGACGACACGTGTCTCCTGCAAAGCCGAGCCGAACCGCAAATGCGAGCTGAGCCAAGCCAAACAGGACCGGCCGACCCGCGACTGTGTAGAAGCTGCCGCGCGTGCGTCCTGCGACTAGTGCACTCTCACGCGCGTGGCCCTCACACTCCCAGCGCACTGTTGGGAGTGAGCGCGCGTGGAACGGCCGTTTTGGCCCGTTTCCCCTCTGTTTGTCTGATTTTTGTCCCGGTTCCAGTTCTAATACTGTTTTTACGTGAATAGGGACCTAATTTAAGAAAATCGATATTTTTGGACACCTCACGGGCAAAGAAACCTAACAAAAAGGCATGCGTTAACCAGGTAAGTCACTACCCGGTATTAGGAAGAAATACTTGTAGGATTCGCTTGGATTGCATGCATGCTAGTAATTTTGCTTCAGATTAGCTCTTCATGTAAAATATTAGTCTGATTGATTGTTATGATTGTATTGGGTGAATTATCTGAGTGTTGCTTGTGTGCTTTAAGCTTTCGTTGTACGTATGCATGCGTTTAATTTATGTTGGGATTGTGTATTCCGCGTTCCGGGTGCTTGATGGATGAATTCGCCCCATTGAGCACGAACTTCATGTTCTGGGTGCTTGATGGAGGTCATCGCCCCATTAAGCCGGCATGCCTTGTTTGCATGAGTTATATATTATGATGTTAGAAGACGGTCATGCACACTCTGTTAATTGGTAGGGCCCATTTCTATGATAAGCTTAGGTGATTACGGTTAGGAGCAATATGTCGCTCTAGCCAGACTTAACTTTCCCCTAGGAACTTAACGAATTACCACGACAACAAGGTACCTTAGGAGTGTTCATAGACTGCTAGTGTGATAACGGTATCTATAGCTTCGTGGGAGGATCAAGGGTCCCTGATCAATCCTTACTACTCTTAGCCATTTCGCATGGGAAATGTGTCCGCACATTGTACAGCCCATTAGCTGCATGGGAACGGGTTGGGTCGCGCCCCCCATAGGGGGACTATATGGGCGTAGGGGTATTCAGCACACCCCTAGGCTAGATACCATGTAGTCCCAGATAGCCACGTAGAGGTAGCATTTCATTGAGAGATACCAACCATATTAGCTTGGCGTAAGGAACCTCTAGGCGTCTAATGAAGGAACGATGAACCGGTGAAACCCAAGGGACAAGCCCCAAGGGACTAAGATTAGAACCAGATATCCTAGAACCGATTTAGGAAACTGTGGGAACCTGTTAAGTTAGAATGCGAAGAGAGCCTAAAGTAGGTGGCTAACTGAATATAATTTTTATACTCATCCTTGCTATGTATTCTTTTTTCAGGAGCGCGAGACATCGGTCAAGGGCGAGCGTGATGGAGACGGGGATTGTCATAGAGGAATGGGTTGTCCCGGGGCGTCAATCCAATCTTTATTTTGTATTTACATTCTTTCGAAATTTATTTTCAAACTATCAAGTGTTCTGTTTGTTTGTCGTTCAAAACTTTATTGGAATTTTAAGGATTTTTTTTTTCTATTTCATATTTAAATCACTTAGTGCATTTATGTCTTGTCATTAGTCACGGTCTGTAGTAAAATATTGGGTCGTGACAGTTATGGATCTACTTAGAATTCGAAGAAATAATTCTTGCAGATGAAAATTTGGTACTGATCGACTATGTTTTCGCGAATGTTCTCCACCAAGCTATCAATTTTGGAATCAGAACGAGGTCGTGCTCAAAGATCATGGCACATGGGCTTATAATACATGCAATAGTAGATTGAAAAGGTTAAATAAATGAATTTTTAATTTATATTAAAAACTAATCGCAATGTGAGTTTATTTCAAATCGTTAAATAAAATTTACCTAAATCAACTTAAATACTTCAAATTAAATAAAACTATCTAGTGATAGAGTCTCTAATAGCCGAGTTTTATATATAATTCATTAATTATTAATTAGTCATTTGTTTTTAATCTTAATGGATAATCTTACCATTATTCAATTTAAAACCCTTCCATTAAAAAATAATAATACAAATTCTAACCAAATCAATAAAGGTAAAAAATAGTTGCAAAAAATATTTATGAACAATAAAAAATAATAATAATAATATATATATATATATATATATATATATATATATATATATTTGAAGGAAGAGTGAGTTTAGGAGGTAAATTTTTTCATTAAAAAAAAAAATAATAATAATAATATATATATATATATATATATATATATATATATATATATTTGAAGGAGGAGTGAGTTTAGGAGGTAAATTTTTTCATTAAAAAAAAAATAATAATAAAAAAAATAATAAATAAATAAAAAGAAAAAGAAGAAAAAAACGGACTAAAACCCTAATTCCAACCTGAAGAAGCCGATTCAGAACTCTTGCATTTTCCGAAAATGCGTTCGTCCTCTCGATTCCTAATCAATCTTTCCGAGACAAACACATCTAATCTCAATTTCCCCTTCTCTTCTTTTGATCGCAGTCCCCGAAATTGTGTTTCGGCTCTGTTACAATCACGGTCCATCTTCTCCACGACGCAGCTTTACGATTCATGGATGGATAAGATCAAGGGAGCCTTCACTGGAAAGAAGAGCCCTTCCGAAGGAACCGAAATCAGCTCTGAGTCCTTTACTCTCCTCCGTACGCCTAATTTCCCGTACTTGAAGTTGTATTAATTCAATTGCACGATATTATACATAAACATTGCGACTGATGATTAGTTTATGACCAAATTTAATTATTTGTCTGTTTATTTATCTCAGGGTTTGCTGAAGAATTGAAAAATGCCCGAAGAGTGGGGGCATTCAAGCAATATATAGTAGGAAGAAGTAGTGAAGCTACCTTTGCGGATGCTTTTGAGAAGCAGGAAGCAATTATTCGCTATTTGGGAGGATTTGATCCCACTGGGGAGGTTGGTTTTCTAGCAATTTGCTTTCTAATAATTACTTATTTGTTTGAGTTGTAATGGAATAAGTTATGATGCCTGACCTTGATGTAATGGTTCTTACACTGCCCATAAATGGAGTATTTTTTAATCTTCACTATGAGCCACTGGTAAAGTAGAAAACAAGAGGGAAAAATAGGACAATGAGATTAGTTTAGTTTTGGCCAAATTTAGAAATGTATATTTTACTGCTGAATAATTTGAGCTGCCACCATTTTTCCAGAAGATTGAAAACATGGGTCTCCTTTTCCAGATTTTCTAGCACTCATTGTTCTTGTAGGACAAAATTTCGTTAATTCAGTGAATATAGGAAAGGCAATGAAACCTTTCACTGAACCCAATGTGGTTACCAAAAAAACCTCAAACTAGCACTAATATCTGTTGAATTAAGTGAATAAGCTGAAACTCATTCTCGCCTAATCAAAAGACAAACCCTCGTAGGAGTTCCTAACTTACTCATAATTTAGATTGAGTCACATATGGTCATCTTATGAAACATTAATTCTCAATTAACGAATTTATAAAGAAAGACTAAATATTTTGTTGTCTAGTCTTAAACAAACTTTTTTTGTAGGATACCCCACTCACATGTCTCCAAGTGAATGATTTATAACCATTGCAAAATAGGGAGCTTAAGTGAATAAAGCCCCTGTTTTGTTTAATCCAATTGACCAAATGGGAGCAAAGAAAGTTGTTGGGGTCTTTCTGCAACCATTACTGTGTTTAATGGTTTGAAATGTGTTTTTTGAAGGGGCTTAAGCCTGAAGTGAAAAAAAGCAAGTTTTTTTTTTTTTTTTTTTTTTTTTTTTTTTTTTTTTTTTTTTTTTTTTTTTTTTTTTTTTTTT